TACTGAATATATAAAATATTTTCTCTAATTCATTAAATGAGCTTATACTCCTAATCTTGATATAATTATTATGATCAATGTAATCTGTTTATTGTTTTGATTTATCAAAAGGTACGACTCTATTTAGAGTTAGTGTATGCCTAATAGTTTGAACAATAACGAATAACATTTGTGAATAATAATTAGTTGATAGAATCCATGACTCGTTTTTGAGTTTGATATACTCCTTTATGTAAGCTTATAAGTTTTTATGTGAAAACCTGGCAGGTGAATTTTGTATACGTCACATGAAATGTTTTAAACGGAATTGTAAAGGATTTAATTAGTTGATTAAATTAAATTTTAAGTGATTTAATTTAATTAACTGGTATTTGAGATCTTAACATGGGGAGTTAAAATAAGTGTTATTGAATTTTCGAAATACATATTGAGGAGTTCAATTGCAGTTTTTTAGTGGAATAAATTGTAATTAATTATAGTAAGAATTAATTCATGCTAATTTCGAATGAATACTATAATTGGTAGCCTCTTATTATTTATGCGGTACCTGATATACCTAGTAAAAACCTGGACAAGACTTGGATAAAAAGTGACTTGGGAGAAAAGTCATCTAATAGAGTTGGAGTAGGATTCTACTTGTAGAATGAGAATCCTACACGTTTTTGGAGGAGAATTTTCGGTCAAAAATAACTCTATTAAAGGAAGACTAATTTCACCCAATACCTCACTTTCTTAGAGTTGTATTGTTCTTGCCCACCCAAAAGTAAAATAGTCCAAGGTTTTACTAGGCAAATAACAGAAGACTGCAACCCTGGGTTCTTGCTGTTTGGAAGATTTGTGCAACTATTTCAAGAAGTTAGTGCTTCTAATATTTTTATTATTGTGTTGTCTAGTTTATATGTATTTGATGCCTGAATTGTATGCTTGCTTCCGCTGCGCATGTTCTAACAAATAAGCCATCTTATTACACATGGAATTAATTTATTGTCGGTTTATAAAAAACAGGGTTTAATATTAATCTGTGATCACTTTTTACTACTACGTACGCTGATGCTGTTTAATTACTCCCCAACAGTTTCCAAAGATTGTCAACTACTGGTACTTGTAGAAACTAAAGGCAAATGAGGTAGAAACCTTTAATTTTTTCTCTCAATATATATCATATGAACTTTTCCATAAATCAAATTTTGATTTAATCCACTAACAACTTTTGAAACAAGTCTGATATATTGCTACATTTTTTTTAATGACGGTTATGCTTTTTTGAAAAGCCAAATGAGATTTTCTGAAACAGGGACTTTCTGATCAATATTGTCTAATTAGTGGTACTACTATTTTATTAACAGATTAAGATTGTGGTTTGTAATTTATTAACAGATTAAAATTAGTTGTTAATATTACTTACAATGTGTAGACAATAAATTGCGTCGAGAAAATAAAATCAAGATCGAAAAATATCGCAACAATCGTAGTATTTGATTTCAAATAATATGAGTGTACAATCTCTATGAATCCTCTGATTTTTCTTTTCAATATTAAATAAATTCAAAGGCATTTGATCTTGATCTTGATCTTGATCTTGAATATGTAGTTGTTGCCACGAACGATGATCTTGTTCTTGAGCTTTAGCTTGATTGCTTGAACTTGAACTTGATTTGTTCTTCGTACTTGAGCTTGAACTTGATTGCTTGAAGCTTGAAACTTGTAGCGGTGTTTGATCCACGAGCTCTCTCTTGCTTCCTTGTTATAACTTCTGGTCTCTTTCCTGAGTTATGAAGACTCCTATTTATAGTTGTGGAAGGAAGGAGTTGTAATAAGAACAAACTCTTTCCGACCAATCAAATTTAAGTATGATATGGCCACATCTGATTGGCCAGAACATATCACTTGCACATGTGGTACGAATTCATTAGCCTTTTAATATGACTTGGCATGCTTTGTCATTTTGATATTTGGCATGGTCCTATTGGCTCTTTCATTTAATGTGACTTGGCATGCCTTTTAATAGTGCACTTGAGACACCGAATTTTGAGGATTTTAAGCAGATGTTCATGGCTGTATTTGCTATACATTATTTTGTTTTATGTTTTGTTTATATTCCGTAGGTTGATGAAGATATTATAGTATTTTATCATGATCCCATAAGCTACTACGGCTTAATCATTTTTATTATTTAATTTTTAAAGTGTTATGGGCGATCAATTGTGGTGATAATTTATGGTTGGTTAGTTTAATGGCAACATTGAATGCCTTCACGACCCACGATAAGAACGGGTGGTGACACAATCACACTAAAATAGTAATTGGAGCCAAGAGCTTTGTCCTCCATAGCTTTTGTTTTTGAACGATAAGGAAGCGTATATATTAGTATAAGCAAAAACTTACACCAAAGTTATATAGTCTTGTAGGACATTACTATTGTTTAAACTTACTAAACTATTACAAACACTGGTGCTTAGTTATTCTCCATAGCTTGTACCTTCCTTCTTAGGCATATCTTCATCACTGTTTTTATAGTCTATTTAATGTATTCTTTTCAAATTAGTCTCTAATTTTAATTTTTTTGGTATCACCCTGTTTAGATATTGTTATGGTGATTTTATTTCAAAAGATGTTCTAATTGTATTATAACTTGTATTTGTGATTATTTTTTTATAGTTTTAGATGTTCAAACAATAACTTTATATTATTTCTATTTTTATTTTTGAATTATTAGGTACTAGAGTATCATTTTACAACTCTAGTTATGTATCATCATAGTTATATTATAGGTGTAATGTATCTTTACGTTATTTACTTTTTCATATAAGAGAAAAGTATTTTGCAAATATCTATATATATTGATTTTTTAATATTTTAATGTAATTTTATTTTTTTATTTTTTTGTATGTTTATGGTATTACTTTTTAAAATATTAAAAATTAATTATCCATGGGGCTTATGCTTCGCATCTTGAGGCTTACGTCTCGCCTGTGTTTAGACAAAATGCATTGCCTTATGCCTACACCTTTTAAAATATTAATTATAAATTCTAGTATTAGTAATAATTTCATTGCATATTTGAACATTAACAATGGACGCACTGATACACCATATACAAGGTAAGGTGCCATGGTGTATGTTGTTCGCTGATGATATAGTTCTGATTGATGAGACGCGAGATGACGTTAATGGGAGACTGGAGGTATGGAAGTAGGCCCTGGAGTCTAAAGGTTTCAAGTTGAGTAGGACTAAGACGAAATATGCGGAATGTAAGTTCATCGAAGTGGCGGGGGACGCGGATGTGGAAGTCAGACTTGACTCTCAGGTCATCCTTAAGAGAGAAAGTTTTAAGTACTTAGGGTCAATTATCCAGGGAGATAGGGAGATCGACGGGGATGTTACGCACCGTATTGGGGTGGGGTGAATGAAATGGAGGTTGACGTTTGGAGTCCTGTATGACAAGAATGTGCCACCGAAACTCAAAGGTAAGTTCTATAGAGCGGTGGTTAGACCGGCCATGTTGTATGGAGCTAAGTGTTGGCCAGTCAAGAATTCACATATCCAGAAGATGAAAGTAGCAGAAATGAGGATGTTGAGATGGATGTGTAGGCACACTAGACTGGATAAGATTAGGAATTAACATATCCGGAAAAGGTAGGCGTGGCTCCGGTGGACGACAAAATGCGGAAAACACGGCTTAGATGGTTCAGACATGTATAGAGGAGAAGCCTAGATGCTCCGGTTAGGATGTGTGAGCGGTTGGATTTGGCGGGTACGAGAAGAGGTAGAGGGCGGCCTAAGAAGTATTGGGGCGAGGTAATCAGACAGGACATAGCGCGACTCCAGATTTCCGAGGACATGGCTCTTGATAGGAAGGTGTGGAGGTCGAGCATTAGGGTTGTAGGTTAAGGGGTAGTCGAGCGGTTTTCCTCTTTTTGTCCCTGTTTTCCTCTTTGTTCCGACGAATATGATAGTATTTTGTCTAGAACTGCTAGCGATTTATGTGATGTTTCACACTTTTGCATATTATTTGTGCTACTGCTTTTCCATTTATTTGTTATCTCTCACGTTGCTGATATTATTTTGGGTTTTTGTTATTACAGATCTAGTGTCTATAAGCCGAGGGTCTCCCAGAAATAGTCTCTCTACTCCCTCCGGGGTAGGGGTAAGATCTGCATACTGTCTACCCTCCCCAGACCTCACTGGTGGGATTCTACTGGGTCGTTGTTGTTTGTTGTTATATATTTGAACATTAACAACTTGTTTGGATGGTTGTTACATATCATTTCACAATGTATCGTATTGTATTATATTGTATTTTACTGTACTGTATCGTTTGATGAATACAATGTTTGGATAAATTGTATCGTTTGCCATTGTTTCATGATATCATGCACCAGCAATATGAAGAATAAACTTGCAATATTATAAAGAAAAATTATAATATAGGGTAAAATTATTATATAAAAAGGTAAGGTAAATGATAAAATAAAATTATTTAATAATAATGAAGGGTGAGATGAGAGAAAAAGACAAGGTAACAGCACGACCACACCAAATCGGTCGTTACATAAAGTTGCACTTTTTGTCGTTAGTAACGACGGATTTAACGATACGATAAGATAAAATTTTTAGTAACAATCAAAAGAAATATTGTATTTAAAGTAACAATATAATACAATACAATAGGTAACAACCATCCAAACAAGTTGTAGATAATTAGCTGTAAAATATTTTTGGACTTAGTTTATATTTTGTAATTTAAACATGAGTGCAATTATTTTTTATTATTTTATACACATAGTTTGGTGCAATTAAATTTATATGATAATTTAATAACCAAAGATACATGTATATGTCATGTGACTAGTTACTAAGAACATAGTAGAAGAGTCTAAAATGAAATTACTAAAATACTCAAAAAGAAAAATGGAGAAAGCGATATAAATTGAAAAATTTCCAAAGAGACAAAGAAAATATGAAGAAATTAAATAAAAAGAAGAAAAAATAAAGAAGTATGCCGCCTAAACTCTCCCCCATCTCCTAAATTACATAGAACTCCCGCGTCTTTCAGTTTCTTCTACCCACGACCACAATATGCTAAATCCTTGCAATTATTTTTCCCAACTGAAAGATTATCTCAAGCAGCCTCTCACAAGCTATCGTATGGATTCTTCTCAATTCCACAATCCATTCGGCTAAGTGGTAAGTATTTTTTTATCAATCTAATTTTTTCAGTATATTGTAGATATGTTGATATGTTATATTTGTTTGGTTATATAAATATTGAATCCGTATATTTTGTAGTTGATAGCTTATATAGATTAAAGAAGACAGAATATAAGGATACCAGATACTTCTAGTGAGCTTCACTTAATTTTTGTTTTTGTTGTCCGACTTTTCTCTTGATTTCAAACAAAGGACTCGTTTCTTTTTTTGAAGAATATAGGAACATCCGATCATTCTTTAAATTTTTTTTTAGTCCTTTGTTATTGGCGTGTAACTATCTCTTCCAATCTCTATGTGAACATTTATTTTGCCATTTTTTTGCTAAATATTTGAAAGCTTGTGCTCATTATAACGGGAATTTGAGGCCTAATTTGATTATTAGTACTCTTTTTTTATTGTTCAAAGATTTTTAGAAATCAGTAAATGCTACTGTAATTTTTTTACATTATCAGGAAAGAAAGTTTGTCAGAAAAATGACTTCAAATCGTGAGTGGATGTACAAAAGGTTAACGAGAGGTTTGTATAATCCAGCATTCTTAAGGGGTGTTGAGCAATTTATTGAGTTTGCAAAGAATCATCAGGAAGGGAGGGATGGTGAGAGACAAAGGTGCCCATGTAATCGAAAAAAGTGTCAGAATAGAAATTTTGAAGATGTTCTTACGGTCCACGAGCATTTGTTGCGTGATGGCTTTGTACTTGGATATCATATATGGTACTTGTATGGAGAAAATGAGGTTACGAGAAATATAGATCAACATCAAGAGACACAAAATTGTGATCAGACTATGAATACTGCATCAACAAATATGGGTGCAATTGATGAGCATGGATCATCTACTTCATACCATAGAATGGTCCTTGACGCTGCTGGCCCCTCATTCGATCCGAGTGATATGGATGAATTGCCGAACCCTAATGCGCAGAAACTTTATGATATGATTGATTCTGCAAATCAAGAAGTGTGGCCTGGCTGTGAAACAGTCTCAATTGTCAGTTGTTGCACGTTTGTTGCATATCAAGTCTGAACACCATTTGTCTGATAGATGTTTTGATGACATTTATCAATATGTGAATGAGATGATTCCTCCTGATAACTTGATGCCAAAAAATTTCTATGAAACTAAGAAGTTAATGCAGGGAATGAACATGCCAATAGAAAAAATTCACAGTTGTATTAATGCCTGTATGATTTTTGGGGAGAAGACAGTGAACTTAGCCATTGCAAGTTTTGTCGTCATCCCAGGTACAAGCCTACTAGGCAAATATCTAATTCAAAGAGAAATCTTGTACCATTCAAACAGATGTTATACTTTCCCATTACTCCACGATTGCAACGCCTATATGCTTCCGACATGACTGCTGCACACATACAATGGCATGCCGAGCATGAAGTTGAAGAAGGTGTGATGTGTCACTGTTCAGATGCACCCACATGGAAATACTTTGATAAGATGCATCCATCTTTTGCAGCTGAAAGTCGTAATGTCAGATTGGGGCTATGCACAGATGGTTTTCAACCATTTGGACAAACAGGTCAACAATATTCATCTTGGCCAATAGTTGTGACACCATACAACTTGCCGCCTTGGATGTGTATGAAAGAGTCCTATTTGTTTTTGTCAGTTATAGTTCCTGGGCCGAAGAACCCTAAGCAAAAACTTGATGTTTTCTTGCAGCCTTTGATTGCTGAACTAAAAAATCTATGGAGTACACGTGTGGACACATATGATATCTCTAAGAAGCAAACCTTTAACATGCGAGCTGCTTTGATGTGGACAATCAGTGATTTTCCTGCATATTCGATGTTGCCTGGGTGGGGTACTGCGGGTAGGCTAGCTGTCCATATTGCATGGAGAATTCAGATGCTTTTACTCTGACAAAAGATGGCAAACAGTCCTGGTTTGACAATCATCGTAAGTTCCTACTACTGGATCATCCATACAAAATTAATAGAAATTCATTTAGAAAGAACAAAGCAGTCACAACGCATCCTCCCCCAATACGGTCTGGTGATGATATCTTGAAGGAGATAAATGAATTGGGGTTGAAAAAGGTAACAGAGCTTGGGGCTGATATTGTTAATGGCAAAATTAGTAAGTTTTCTGGTTGGAAGAAAAGAAGCATATTTTAGGATTTACCATATTGCAGTACAAATCTCATTCGGCACAATCTAGACGTTATACACATCGAGAAAAACTTTTTCGAGAATGTGTTCAACACAGTGCTAGATATAGATGGTAAAACAAAAGATAATCCTAAATCTAGAGAAGACTTGAAAGAGTTTTGTCGATGTCCTGAATTACATGTTGTTGGTGGTGAATATCCGAAAGCTTGTTACACACTAGACAAGAAGTCAAAAAAAGTGTTGTGTGAATGGGTGGAAAATCTAAAATTTCCAGATGGATATGTCTCAAATATGAGAATGTGTGTGGACATGAAAAAACATAAATTATTTGGTATGAAAAGCCACGATTGCCATTTATTCATGCAAAGATTGGTCCCTATTGCATGTTGTGAGCTATTACCACAAAAGGTTTGGGAACCACTTGCTGAGATGAGCTTTTTCTTTAGGGATCTCACTTCTACGGCAATTCGGCAAGAGGATATGGTCAGACTTGAACAAGAAATACCTGAAATACTTTGTAAATTGGAGCGTATATTCCCTCCCAGCTTCTTTGATTCAATGGAACATCTTCCCGTGCATCTTGCTTACGAAGCAAGGATAGCAGGTCCGGTGCAATATCGATGGATGTACCCGTTTGAAAGGTAAGATTTCATTGATATTAATTCAATCACTTCATTTTCATAATCATGAAAGACTCACAATTTGAGCTTATGTGTTATTTCCAGAAACCTTCGAAAATTAAAAAACAATATTCGAAATAAGGCATAGGTTGAAGGATCCATATGCAATACATATTTAGTTGAGGAAGCTTCATCTTTTTCTTCACACTACTTCGAACCTCATGCTTACACAAGGCATAGGAAAGTTTCACGGAATGATGATGGTAGTATAAGTGAACGGGATGAACGCGATGGTAATCTTTCGATATTTACCTATCCAGGTAAAACATTTGGGAGATGTAAACCAAGATATATGACTGAAGAAGAACTTGATGCAGCTCATATTTATATTTTATTAAATTGTGCAGTACACCCGTATATTGAGTAAGACTTCAAGCTTTTGTTTTCATTTATAGATTAGCAAAATCATCAAAACACTTAATATATAATTTTCTTGAATGTGATTCAAAGGATTTTTATTGACTCCCTTCATCAAAATTTCCCACAAATTACGGAGAAGGAAGTGGATAGGAAACTTGATGAAGATTTTGCATCATGGTTTAAAAGTTATGTGAGTGACAAGAGGGGTTGCTCTGATGGTAAGCAACCTCCGCTTCCAACCAAGAGGTTGTGAGTTCGAGTCTCCCCAAGAGCAAGGTGGGAAGTTCTTGGAGGGAAGGATGCCGGGGGTCTATTTGGAAACAGCCTCTCTACCCCAGGGTAGGGGTAAGGTCTGCGTACACACTACCCTCCCCAGACCCCACTAGGTGGGATTATACTGGGTTGTTGTTGTTGTTGTTGTTGGTTTAAAAGTTATGTGAGTACTTGTACAATATCCTTCCACTTATTCTTACCTCACTTATGAGCAACTCTAATTATTTTTCTTTTACAAGCACGAGTCCACATAGATAATCAGTTCATCAAGGCCCTTGCAGAAGGTCCGTGTCGAACAGCACAACCATGGACTGGTTATATTGTCAATGGCTTTAAATTTCACACCAAAAGCCGCAGTTCTTCTAGAGCATCCAGCAACAGTGGTGTATGCATAAAAGGAACTAATTATAGTGTAGATGATAGTGATTACTATGGTGTGCTAACTGATATCCTTGAATTGGAGTATAAGGGTAGTGAGTATATAAAGAGAACTGTTTTATTCAAGTGTGAGTGGTTTGATCCCATACCAAAGGCAGGAATGAAGATTCACCCACAATATAAACTTGTGGATATCAACCATGAAAAGAAATTAAAAAAGTATGAACCATTTGTTTTGGCAATGCAAGCGGCTCAAGTGTATTATGCAACTTATCCTAGCTTACGACGTGATAAGAGTGACTGGTGAGTTGTGTGTAAAATAAAAGCACGGGATATTACGGACATGCCTTCATCATCTTCACAGTCACCTCCGAAAGATGATGTTAAGCCATTCCAATCTGAGGAAGATGGTTTAACATTTGGTGTGGTACCTGACAATGAAATTGTTCTCCTGAATGATCCAAATGGTGAATTCATAAACATAAGAGACAAGGTCCACGAGAATCATGATTTAGATAATGAGGTAGAACTTCATGTTGAATTTGGATCAGATGAAGATGAGGATGAGGATGAGGAGAATGAGGATGAATAGCCATATGATGAAAACGGCAGTGAATAGAGTCAAAATGCTTCAATCTCTTCAAGTATAGAGTCTGAATGAATGAAACATAGTATATAATTTGTTTTTATTACTATTTGATTTTACATTTCTTGGGAAAAAGTTGTTAGGTTTCATATTTTATGGGTTCTTGGATGTTTTTAACTTAAGTATTTGTATTTAATAGTTCTTTCGCTTGCTTGTTTGACCCGTTACCCTCACTCTCATTTTGTGAGGATAAGTAGTTGTATTCTTTAGGTGCAGTAAGAAACACTTATAAAGTAAGTTTGTTCCTTTTAAGATGTTTGTCTTTTTAATCTGCTATGTCTAGATTAATACTTGTATGTCTTATTTTTTTCATAACATCCTGTTCTTGGACTAATGTATAAGTTAGTTACTTTTGGAATAATATATCAATTAACTACTTATTACTGTATTTAATTAGAAGCGACCATAATTCATTAATTATGTTATTTGTTCATCTACATATGACTTTGGAATTGCAGATATGGCACCTAGGGGAGGTGGAGCACGTAGATATGCTGAAAATAGAAATGCAAATTCATTGAGATCTCCTGAGATGTTGAGTCCCACATCTAATCAATCACCATTATCACCTGAACCTCCGGTACTAGAAATGCCACATTCAGATGCAACTATAAACTGATCCTTACCATCTTCATCTTCTGATCTTGGTGCACCTGGAGATGAAATCCGGTCAGCAAGTTCCTCAAACACAATTGGTGGTACCCGTATCCCAATTACAATCGTCCCTGGAGGGTAAGAGCACGAGTGTCATCCATTTATATTTTTTTTATTCATTTCTATTTTGTGCTTATAACGTGTGTATCATTGCATCTTTGTGAATTCATACCTGATTGTTTAGCATCTAGAAAGATAGATACATATTTAGACTATTGGGTCAGACACATTGAGGCATAATTTGTTATAGTATTCCAGCTAGAGAATTTTTTTTATATGGTACGTAGGACAAGAACTTCAAATGAATATGTCATCTGATTTTCTACTGTAATAGCAGGGTGTTCTTACCAAAGAAACTAGAGAAAGCAGGAAAGTTCTTATCCTTTTCAATATGACTAGACAATGACTTTAGATGAATATGCTCATGGAATCGTCTTATGGAGAAAAGCTTAATTCCTTTATATTTTCAAATAACTCTAGTTAGGAGGCAACAACTCATTTACTACAGTAATTGTGTAAAATAAATATATTACTTATACTTCACACAAAAAATATAAATTGACTCTTGTAAGAAGATGGACAGAAGAATGTCCCTCTTGATGATTATTAAGCACCGACTAAGTAATTTCCGTTATTTCTCAAATGCTTCTTGAAAGAATATGAAAACTTTAAATGGAATAAAGTCAGAAAATAATTCGTTTTTTATTCACTCAAGTGGAGCCGGGCAATCAAGTCGCTCGATCTGTCACAAAAATCTTCAAGGAGAAACTGGATCATAAAGGACATAATTGGAAGTCTGTTATACCAGAGACAAGAGACTTCTATTGGGAAGAGTTTAAGGTAAAGTTATAGTACTAATTATCATTTTAATAATAGACTTTGTACATTTTAAATTTTTGTTGTATCAATATCTTGTATTTCATCTGTTCTGTGCGGATTCCAGAAAATACCGGTTCGATGATTCTGGCATCTCTGATTTGATTGATACTAGTGTTGGTAGCCAAACAAAATCTGGTTAGTAGTCTTAAATGTCGAGATGTATAGGAGACATGGGATGGTTATGATTAGCTAGGGAGAATGCAGTTCTTTACTTTTTTAGTTTCTGTACAGATAATTTCAGTAGTCCAACCTAAAATGTGGGAGAAATTATGATATCATGAATGAGATCCTAAATACTTCATCTACTGCTATTGATTCTATCAGAAGTAAAGTGGTATCCTATCTCTTACATCTTTGTGAAACCTTGTAATCATGGTTAAGTCCTTCTAGTTTCGTCATATTGGTGCTTTTTTCTTCATAATATCCTTCTGCTGATTACAAATGTAATACATTTATCAGAATTTTACAATACTTGAATTCCTCTCGTTGCAATATCTTTTTTTTGTGGCATAATTAGTGAAAATCATAATCCTTATATATATAACAGCTTTTCTAACGTCCAAGACTTCTTATTTTTAGTGCTTTTATGCTGCTATAATTACCTACAAATCAGTCGTGCAAGATAAAAAGATGCAAAATAGAAAACTTTATACCTTAATATTGTACTAGTTAGTTTCCTGTTCTGCCAAATGTATAAATGCATGAAGTAACTACTGTATGAATTATTTTAAGATATCATATTTCCTTCAACTTCCGGAATATACATATGACTGTATAAGTTCTGGTCCAAGCATTTTCATTTATCAAATGTAAAATGTACTTAAAAGTTAGGTTGAGACACAAAGGAAGTAATCCATGAAGAGAAAACAGTATCAAGAGGGGAAAAAAGGAATTAACTCAAAGATTTACTTTGAAATGCATATAGCTTCCTTGCAGATTTCCTGAGAGTTTGAATCTTCTTCTCATGAGAAATCTTAATTGAACTGTTGTCAAAATTAACATATATGTCTAGGTCACTCTTTGAATGGAATAGATCCATTACAAAAGATCCAACTCCTCTATAATAGGAACATTACCAGAACGTCCTAAAAAAAGAGAGAGATTGTCACATTATGCTGCAAAGTTTAGAAAATACAATCCAATAAATAGCCTACCCATTCAAATTTGTTTAGTTGCTTAAGTCTATTAATAAATCTATTCCAAGATAGTATCAAGTACCTTGACAGAGCAATTATATGACTGATTTGTCCTACAGCGCCAGCGTCTGAGAAGAACTTGGGGGAAATTTATAATGACCACAACAGTAAGGATGGAATAAGCATAAACTTTTGCTCCTCTATGTTGATAATAATTGTGACGGGCGAAGGTTTTTGCTATCTTGAGGGATCACAGTTCTTTCTTAGTTTTTGGTTGATGATCTCTGTTGTTAACTTGATTTCTAGATCAGTAAAAAAATTTCTTCAGCTAGGCTAGAAGTTCCTTCTAATTCCTTTTAGATATTTGGAGCTATTCCTATTTGGAGTTCCCTTTATCTTTCTTGAGCTGCGGGTCTACGGAAATAGTCACTCTACCTTCTTAAAGGTAGGGGTAAGGTCTGTGTACACTACCATCCCCAGACCCCACTTGTGGGATTACACTGGGTATGTTGTTGTTGTTGTTATCAACATCTTATGTTATTTTTCATTTCATATTCTCAAACAGAAACGATTTCAATGGGATACTGCAATTGAAAGTGCCATAAAGGATAAGTTTATGAGCAAATGTGCAGAACGATACAAGGGTCTGTCTGAAGCAAGACTTGATGAGACGAAGCACAAACATATTCCAGTATCTATTTGGGAGAGCTGGAAGCCTCACTGGGAGACTGAGGCTTTTAAAGCCAAGTCCGCGTAGTGCTCAAGGAATCGACTAAGTGAGAAAGGTGGTGAAGGATCTGGTCCCTCACTCCATACAGGAGGCTTTAACGAGAACATGCAAAAATACTGGTATATTCATTTTACTTTAGCCAAGTTATAATATCTCCAAAGCTAATCATTATGTATTAATATAGTGAATGTGATTTTTAATTTTAGGCTAAAGAACTAGGAAGACAACCACATCCACATGAGCTTCCGAGAACGACACACGTCAAGGCGAACAAGGAGTTTGTGGACCAGAAATCTAGGAGCACATATGTAAGTTACCTTGACTGTCATTTCTTGACAAGTAAAAGTAAAGCATCTATCTTGGCTGCTAGTTTTAGAAACACAAACTAAATATAATAATAAAGGTTTCATGGTAAGTCATATACAAAGAAACTAACTTCTGGTACTTTTAATAAAGAAAAAAATATTTCACACTGCATTTTTCTCTTTTCAGTAGTATCTTTAGCTAATAAAGTAGCCTTCAATTCTGCAGTGACCTCTAAAAACATGAAGATGTGCTAATGAGTTTATATTTTAGAAACCTTTTCTCATGTCTTTGACATCATCTTTTCCATGAATTATTTTTCTTGTCGCCGGATGATTCATTGAGCTCTTTTAAATTTTTCTCTTGTAGAATTTTTGCATTTAAATGTGCTCATTTATCCTTTGGATTTATAGAGTATAGATATTCCTCTAAGAAAGTGTTTTTGAATACAACAATTAGATCTACAGTACATCTGCTTTATAAGGTATGTTGCCATTATATTGTTTATAATCTTTTCCCTTTTCCTTTTAAAGTAGTATACTATCTGTGTGATTGAAACTCCTCTGAGATTCATAACTGCAGTCTTTATTAAGAATATTAGGTTCTGCAGTTGTGTCCAATACTGAGTTTTGATTTCTTAAAGGCATATGATCTTCTCTGCATTTCCTTTGTGACTTATTGTTCCCAGTAGCAGTAATTTTCACTGTAGTAACCTTATAACCTATCTTGCCCGATTCTTCATACAATTGTATCATAAAATAAGAGTGTAACACAACCTTTGTATGCTCCTTAACTAATTATTTTATCTATAGAATAACAAAACCTATTGGATTTTTGAACAGGAGTTAGACTTCCATCTTACTTTACCTTTGATATTTTATAAATCTGCACATTTAAGCTATAGAATATGTCATTGTTGAAAATTGTTACTTCTTTATCTGATAGATTAACAAGTTGATGACAAACAAGTAATGCAATTTGTAGGGAGAAACACTGTTTTGTACATCAAAACAATTATTTTTAAGGTGTTGTTATTGACATTTAAGTTTTCAATTTTGTTGCCTTTCTGACTATGTCTTGATGTTTTCTCTTTCAAAAGTTATTATACAGTTTATATCATTTTTTTGCTTTCAGGATGCCATAATGTCTAAAATTGCGTCTGCGTCTCAACCTGAAATAGGTCCAGTGAGCCTCCTGAAGTTGATTTCTTACAAATTTATTTGGACGAAGTCTGGTGTTAAGAAGGCACGCATTTATGGTCTTGGTTCTCAAGCTCCTTTCTTTGGGCATGTTGGTGTATCCTCCAGTTCGAAATCTCCGCTTCAAGATCTAGACTTTAATGCTCGGGTGAATGAATGTGTCGGACATCGTTTGCAAGAAATTAAAGAAGAGATGAAGCATGAGATGAGATCAGAGATCAAAGAAGAGATTAGACAAGAAATGAGAGAAGAAATGCGTGAAGAAATGAGACACGAAATGCAACAAGAGGTGCGCGAGCAAGTTGATCAACTACTCCAAAACCGTATGTCGGTCCTCATAAGTGGCTTACCTACACCGCCTTCTCTTAGACATGACTCGTCGTCAAATAATGACACGAGTAATATTTAGATTTATTTTAGCTTCTTTTATGTTAGACACGTTTCGGATTCTGCTTTCAATTTCATGACAGATATTATAATTATTTATAAAGTGCTATTATGTTTTTTGTTCTGTTTAAGTGTTTTTTAGATCTTTTAAAGCTTTAAATTAGTAGTAATACAGTTATTAAAAATAAATTTTTTAACATACCCATTTAATTTGTAACATTTGGTAACACATTTATTTACAATTTGTTAGTAAATTTTATTTAAAAATAAATAACCATATTTCATAACGAATATGAAATTTGTTGGTAAATTACTAACAATTTACTAAACAGAAATTTTCCATAAATAAAATTACCAACCGATTACCAATGTATTTTTTAAATTATACTATCGGATTTACCAACCAAGTTGTTATCCGTTATTGTAGTTGCTAACGAAATTTTTCTTGTTACTATATTTACCAACGGATTACAAACACAATTTAAATAATGAAAAACCAAATTTACTAATCCATTTTCTATCTGTTAGTAAATTACTAACGGACTTCCAACCGAATTTTGGTTAGTAAATTTACCAACGGAAATCTTGGACTTAAGATTCAAAAATTACCAACGAATTCATTTGATGTTTACTAACTGATTTTTAGTTGGTAATTTTACCAACAAATTCAAACTGGTTGGTAAAATTTACCATCGAGCCTTTTAACGGATCAATATCTGTTGGTAATCTGTTAGTAGCTCAAATTGCCAACCAATTTGATCAATTTACCAACAAATCTTTTTTGTTGGTAATTGGGTTTTTTTTGTAGTGCATCAAGTGTCAACAATACGTCATTATTGGCATCTTCGCTTATGACTAGAATTGTGTCAAATGCGAAATTTGCGGTAGAAATTTTTAACGGGTCAGGACATTTGAGGATGTGGCAAGGCGGAGTTCTAGATGTCCTTTTTCAACAAGGGCTAGATCTTGCCATTGAAGAAAAAAGACCAGATGTTATTGAAGAAGAGATTGGAGAATTATCAACTGTGTTGCTTGTGGTACCATTCGATCCTACCTTGCTAGAGAGCAGAAATATCCATACACAAAGAAAACTTTTGCAAGTAAATTATGGAAAGCACTGGAGGATAAATTTTTGAAGAAAAACAGTCAAAATAAATTGTACATGAAGAAGAGACTGTTTCGCTTCACCTATGTTCCTGGTACCACGATGAATGAACATATCACCAGTTTCAATAAGTTGGTCACAGATTTGCAAAATATGGATGCAACTTTTGATGATGGTGACTTGGCCTTGATGTTGTTGGGGTCACTTTCTGATGAGTACGAGCACCTTGAAACTACTCTACTCCATGGGAATAACGAAATTTCTCTCAGAGAAGTTTGTTCGGCTATGTACAGCTATGAACAAAGAAAGGGAGAAAAATAGAAGGGTGAAGAAGGAGAAGCACTAGTTGTGAGGGTTCGTCCTCAAAATCAAACGAGGGCAAAGAATGGAAGATCCAAGTCAAGATCTAGACCTAGCAAAGATGAATGTACCTTTTGTCGAAAAAAAGGGCACTGGAAGAAAGACTATCCGAAGTTGAAGAATAAGGCCAAATATAATAATGGAAAGGATATTATGGATTCAAATGTAGCTGATTGTGATGATTCAGACTTCTCATTAGTTACAGCAGAGTCATCAACATCATCAGACATATGGTTGATGGACTCGGCTTGTAGCTATCATATGTGTCCTAACAGGGACTGGTTCGTGGATTTTCAAGAAGGAGAATATGGAGTCATCAACACAGCGGACAACAACCCTCTTACCTCATATGGAACTGGTTCAATACGATTAAAGAATCATGATGGAATGATCAGAACATTAACAGATGTTCGATATGTACCGGATTTGAAGAAGAATCTCATCTTTGTGGGAGCCCTAGAATCAAAAGAGTTCAAAATCATTGCAGAAAATGGAGTAATGAGAGTATGCTCCGGTGCATTAGTGGTAATGAAGGCTAATCGAAAAAATAATAATATGTACCGCTATCGCGGTAGTACAGTTATTGGGACAATGATAGTGACATCCAGTGACGAAAAAGGGGCAGAATCAACAAGCTATGGCACATGCGCTTGGGACATGCTAGAGGACAATCCTTAAAAACTCAATGAGATCAAGGATTGTTAAAGGGAGTAAAGGTTTACAACTTGGAGTTTTGCGAGCATTGTGTCAAAGGGAAACAGACAAGGGTTAAATTTGGTACAACGATCCATAATACTAAAGGCATTTTGGATTATGTACACTCTGATGTTTGGGGTCCTTCCAAAACACCTTCATTGGGTGGGAAACACTATTTTGTAACCTTGTTGATGATTTTTCCCCAAGAGTGTGGGTGTATACAATGAAGAGCAAAGATGAAGTGTTGAATTTTTCTCAAATGGAAGATGATGGTGGAGAATAAAACAGGCAGGAGGATCAAGTGTATTCACACAGACAATGGAGGTGAATACAAAAATGACCATTTCAATAAGGTCTGTGAAAATGATGGCATCGTCCGACACTTCACTGTTAGACATACACCACAACAGAATGGAGTGGCAGAACGTATGAACCGGACCTTGCTGGAGAAGGTACGGTGTATGTTGTCCAATGCTGGCTTGGGCAAAGAATTTTGGGCTGAGGCAATTATATATGCATGCTACCTCATTAATCGTCTACCATCTGCTGCTATTGACGGCAAGACACCATTTGAAAATGGTATGGAAAGCCTGCTGTAGATTATGACTCTTTGCACGTGTTTGGCTCAACTGCATATTATCATGTGATAGAGTTAAAATTGGATCCAAGGGCAAAGAACGCTATTTTTATGGGGATTACTTTTGGAGTCAAAGGATACTGCTTATGGTGTCCTATGACAAAGAAAGTAATATTCAGCAGGGATGTTACCTTTGATGAATCTGCTATGGTAAATAAGGTAACAGAAGATATCAAACAAAATGAGAGTGCTTCTAAGTAGGTGGAGTTTGAGGGAAAATTTATTTTTCCTACACAAGAAGCAGAGGTGGAAACAAATGAAGATTATCCTCTGGAAGAAGAGCCAGTAGAGAGGGAGATTCCAACTTAGGAACCTCAACAACAACTTGAATCAATAGCAACCAACATGCCAAAAAGGACAATAACAAAACATGTTCGTCTTATAGAGACGGTTGCTTGTGACGCCTCAATTGTAGCTGATGATGTTCCTACCACTTATAAAGACGCAGTCCAAAGTTCAGAAGAAGATAAGTGGAGGATTTCCATGAATGATGAAATACAGTCCCTTCATCAGAACATACATGGAGATTGGCCAATCTCCCGAAGGGAAAGAAAGCAATTGGGTGCAAATGGTTATTTGCAAAGAAAGAAGGATTTCCTAACCAAGAAGATGTTCGCTACAAAGCAAGATTGGTGGCCAAAGAATATGCTCAAAAGGAGGGAATTGATTACAATAAAGTATTTTCTCCAGTTGTAAAATATTCCTCCATTAGAATTATGTTGGCTTTGGTAGCACAGTTGGATTTGGAACTACTTCAGATGGATGTAAAAACTGCGGTTTTACATGAAAACTTGGAGGAGAAAATCTACATGACTCAGCCAGAAGGATTCAAAGTTGCTGAAAAGAAAAATATGGTGTGCAAACTTGAAAAATCGTTGTACAAATTAAAACAATCTTCTAAAAAATGGTACAAACGATTTGACAAGTTTATGTTGCGGCAAGGGTACAAGAGAAGCAAGTACGATCATTGTGTGTATTTGCGCAAGCTTAAAGATGGTTCCTTTATATATCTTCTCCTATATGTTGATGATATGTTGATAGCTTCCAAGAATTCGGAAGAAATTGATAAGTTGAAGATTCAACTGAAGAAGGAGTTCGAGATGAAGGATCTGGGTGAGGCAAAGAAAATTCTTGGCATGGAGATAATAAGAGATAGACGTTCAAAGAAACTCTGTTTATCTCAGAAAGAATATTTGAAGAGAGTACTACAACGTTTTGGCATAGATGACAAGACTAAGCCAGTTAGTACTCCACTTGCTCCCCATTTTAAGCTAAGTACTACTATGTCGCCAATGGATGAAGCTGAACGAGAGTATATGTCAAAGGTACCATACGCAAATGTTGTTGGTAGCTTGATGTATGTAATGGTCTGTACGAGACCTGACATTTCACAAGTTGTTGGAGTTATTAGCAGATATATGCATAATCTAGGAAAGGAACATTGGCAAGCTGTGAAGTAGATTCTATGGTATATTCATAATAATGTAGATGTTGGGTTAGTTTTTGAGCAGGAATGCAATCAGTTTGTAGTTGGATATTGTGACTCAGATTTTGCGGGTGACCTGGACAAATGAAGATCAACTACTGGTTATGTGTTTACTTTTGCAAAGACACCAGTTAGTTGGAAGTCTACCTTACAGTCAACAGTTGCTTTGTCTACAACAGAGGCAGAGTACATGGCTATTACAGAGGTTGTGAAGGAGGCAATTTGGCTTCAGAGATTGCTAAAAGAGCTTGGTATTGGACACAAAAGTATCACAATTTTTTGTAATAGTCAAAGTGCTATTAAATTAGCGAAGAACCAAGTTTATCATGCAAAGACGAAGCACATTGATGTTCGGTATCATTTCGTACGAGAAATCATAGGAGAAGAAAATTCATACTACAGAGAATCTTGCTGATATGCTGACAAAAGTGGTGACTGTGGTCAAGTTTCAACATTGTTTGGATTTGATCAACATTGTTGAACACTGAAGATTGAAGATGAAGACACAACCAAAATTTGTTATTGAGAGAGAATTGAAGATGTGGAATTTTGCCAAGGTGGAGATTTGTTGATTGTCAAAAGATTGTCCCACATCGGTAGAGGACCTCATTTGGGGGGAATGTTCCCCTATAAAAGGAGGCCTAATGTTTAGCATTTAAACACACATCTCATTTGCCTTCTTATCTTCTTAAGACATCTGTATCTTCTCTCTTTAGTATTATTTCACTTGTATTTTTGGAGTGAAATAAAATATTGGTTGTGTCCGAGGAAGTAGGCAAAATTGGCCGAACCTCCTAAATTCTGGTGTTCCTTTTATTGGTTCTTTATTGTCTTATTTAT